AGGAATCACTTGTGGAGACCCACCAGAGAGATTCTGCACCCACGTAAGTGTTTCCCTCCTTCTTGGATGTCTTGTAACAGAGTCTGCCTGCAGGTGGCCAGGGGCTGAAATGCCATTGTAAGGCCAGCTGGGTTCAGGCTGGCAGTGGTGGCTGCTGCCTTGAGCTGCAAAATGAGGGGAAGGTGTCCTGCCCTTCCCAGTGCTGTGTAGACAGGTCAGCCCTACAGCAGGGATGGTGCTGGCAGGCTGAGGGGAGGGTAAGGAGGAGCTGAGGGGGCTTAGGAAGTCCTGGTCTGGGGTTTGAAAGAGCTCTTCCCCCATGAGCACACAGACCTGAGCTGCTCTGAGCACGTCCCTCTGTGTGCTAAAGCATGTGGAGGAGCTCATCGGTCCCATCCCAAAAGGCTGTGCTGGCACCAGGGTTTTACCAGAGGTGGGGGCACTGTCCCAGCATCAAGAGTGCCCAGCACAACACCCCCACACTGGCAGCTCTGGCATTCTGATGGCCACCAGTGTCACTGATGTCCCTGCAAGAGCTGCTCTCCCTCTCTCCTGCCTCGGTACCAGAAGACTCTCTGGACAGACACTTGCCCTTGTACTTAAAATCTGTAAGTTATTTTCTCTTAAATATTAATCATTGCATTTCATTCCGTGCACCACAAAGCTTTTTTTTTTATTCACAAGCCTTTATGTTGTTAAAAAGAGTTCGGGGGTCAAAGCACAGAGCAAACCCAGCATGGCTGAAACATCCCCTCCCCAATGTCCTCTAGGTGTTCCCTGAGCACACCTTGAGAGCACAGTGACCAAGCCAGTCGGTGCTGACAGGGTCTCTACTGGGATGAGCACTGGACAAGGAGCACAGTAGCCTATTCCTTGTAATGAGAAAGAGGGAGTTCTCCTCCTTCGAGGTTAGTGGAAGTGAGGACAGGAGTCCCAGTTTCTATCAGCAGCATCACCCAGACTCAGACACCCCCTGCCTCAGTTCCCCACATGCATGTAGAAAGTACCCTGGGCCCAACCAGCACAAAGCACCTCTGAAAAATCCAAGAGAAAAAAAATTAGCTTTGACACCAGGAGATGCCAAACATTGACAACCAGCAGAACCCACCACCACTATTTATTAACCCACTTCTCCCCAGCCTACAGGGTCTTATTAGTACCAGGGAAAATATCCTCACTCATTTCCAATAAGGAGCAGCTTTTCCTTTTAAAGTATCATTTGAAAAGAAAGATTAAGCCAAAGATTGCAAATAAAACAGTGAACAATTGTTGGGTGGGTCTGGGTTTCCATGTATCTGGCTGCAGAAGGATTAAAACGGGAACCTTGTTTTCTGCTACATTCACTGCAGCTGTTTGCAAACACCTTCTACACCTTCTGGCTAAGGATGCTCCAGGCATCCAGTTCCACTGACCTCTAAGAAAGCAGAAGACACAAACTGCCATCAGCTCCCTCCATCTCTCTCAGCCAATACTGAGCTAAAATCCTTCTATCCTGGGCAGCAGCAGCCCCTCCTGGCAGGGCACACGCTTGCAAACACCGGGTACAGCCTGAATGGGAGTTACACAGATGCAAACCATGGGTTTGCCTCCCTGTCCCTGTCTCACCCCAGGGTGTGTGCCTGGCCCAGCCTCCATCTCCCACAGCACAAACCAGTGCTCATGGCAACCTCCCTGAGCAATTCCCTGGTGAGGCACTGAGCTAAGAGCAGGACTAATATACTGCAAGTTATTTTTTTTTTACATGTTTGGGGTAGCTTTATGAAATCCCACTGTATTCATGGCTCTTCCCCTCCCTCTCTGTTCTCTCCGGAGGATTAGAGAGTGTTAAAGAGAAAGCAGATGCAGAGCAACCCTGCTGAGGGAGCAAGGAGCCTGCCCAGCACTGGGTACTCAGAGCAGGAGGTGGCTGCAGGGGGATCCAAGCTCTAGCCCAGCCCCAGGGCTGGAGCTGTGTGTGCTGGGAGGCCAGCAAGGTGAATTTTCAGGGCCTCTGCCACAGGGAATGTGGCCATTTACTGCTGAGCCTCCCCTTATGGCCAGTAGAAAGGGGCCTGGGGGAGAAACAGCCTTTTCCACCCCGGTCCCAGGTGTGACCTGACACCTATTGACATGCAGAGAGAGGAGACCAGAGCTTTGCTACCCCGGGCAAAGGGAGGGCTGGACACAAATCAATGTCACTGCCCAGCCACAGTTCCCAACCCCAGCCCGTGCTGGGAGCAAGGAGGTGGGTGACTTGGGTGAACCCAACCCACCTTTCAGCATCCCGTCATCCTTTCTCTTCAGGTTTTAATTATCTTTCTGTAACAGGTGGGTTCTGATAGAAGCACAGCCTTCCAGCAGAGAGGTTCTTACAGTGACTATATTGCTTTCTTAGGTGTCTTTCAAACCAGCAGGGCACTGTCCGTGCAGTTAAACTCCCGGCACTCGGAATGAAGCCCAGCCCGGCAGGACGTCTGCACTGCTCAGGCAACTGAAATCAAAATTAAAGACACACAAACATCCCTACGTGCTCCAAGCAGTCAGAGATGATGTCCACGGGCATGTGGCTGTGGGTGGGCAGAGGAGAAGGGTATTATAAGGCAGGGAATGTTCCCTACCCGGCTCTACCGGCACCCGTGGGTCCCACACTGGTTATAACAACTCTGAGCTGCACTCCCAGAGAGTTCTGCAAAAGGAGGGTTGCAGGGATTATTTGGGGGATTGTCTTTCCTGTTTGACAACAATTCCAGTCACATCTGGCCTCTCCCTTCTGGTTTTGCTGCTCATTAAAGTCAGGGTGCTTTGCTTTTTCCACAGTTTCTGAGCCTTCTCCTGTTCATGTCAACGCTTTCCTGGCAGGGTCACCTGAGAAATGAATTGTGTTTTCCCCTCCTGGCAGGGCAGGGGAGTGGTGGGAAGACAGATGGATAAAGAAATAAAGGCCTGAATGAATTGAAAAGCGTGACTGAAGCCTAACAGGGAACAGATCTTTTAACCATGGATGTTAAAGGAAGGGCAGGACTCCAAAGATCACACCCAGGGCAGGGCACAGAGCAGCTCCATGCAGATTTCAAATGAGGGAGGGGTCTCAGGACAGGAATGGCTGTGAAGCTGCCTGGGACAGAGGGGGAGACAGCATTGCTTCCCCATCCCACCCTCCTGGGGAGGAGGAAGGCACAGCTGGGCAAGGTGCTCCCAGGTATTGAGATATCCTCAGGTGCTGAAGCTCTTTTTTGATACCAAGCTGAGACCTTTGAGAATTTCACTTTCAAGTGTCCACGTGGGGCACACATGCTAAAAAAATTAGGTGGGTTTTGTAGGTAATCTACACACAAAAGAGGCAGTAGGGAGCAAGGAAATGCCACAACAACAGTGCCTGCTCCAAACAGGTTTGCAGCTCAAAGGGTTTCCAAATCATTCTAACAAAAGCAAGGTGGGGTGTACAGGGGAGCAGGAGCAGCCACTTTCTGCCACATCTCCTGGGCATTCCAGGCAGAGCTCCCAGCACCAACCAGTGGCACAAGGAGCTCACAGCTCATCTCCAGGATGGGAGCCACTTTTTTTCCCCCCAGAGGTGTCAAGACACCATCTCTTGTTCAGACAACACTTCAATGCAGGGCTGAGCTCTTAGCCCTTATTGATGGGTCAGGGGTATTTTTATTTGGAGTCAGCATTGTTTCACCAGCTAAAAGAGCTTGTGGATTTTGGCACAGGTACATGCAAGGAAAAGACTTTATTTATTCATTACACATTCAGGCAAATTTGATTATTAGTTTAATTCTTAGTTAAACTTTTCTGAAGACATGTGGTTATAAGGTTTATACTAAATAACTATTTCACTTAGTAGATAGGGTGCCAACTGCAGGAAAAACCAGGTAAACTTTTGGGCTGAGAAATCCTTTTCCCTACTCCTGGGCATTCCAGGCAGAGCTCCCAGCACCAACCAGTGGCACAAGGAGCTCACAGCTCATCTCCAGGATGGGAGCCACTTTTTTTCCCCCCAGAGGTGTCAAGACACCATCTCTTGTTCAGACAACACTTCAATGCAGGGCTGAGCTCTTAGCCCTTATTGATGGGTCAGGGGTATTTTTATTTGGAGTCAGCATTGTTTCACCAGCTAAAAGAGCTTGTGGATTTTGGCACAGGTACATGCAAGGAAAAGACTTTATTTATTCATTACACATTCAGGCAAATTTGATTATTAGTTTAATTCTTAGTTAAACTTTTCTGAAGACATGTGGTTATAAGGTTTATACTAAATAACTATTTCACTTAGTAGATAGGGTGCCAACTGCAGGAAAAACCAGGTAAACTTTTGGGCTGAGAAATCCTTTTCCCTACATTTTCAGCCTATGATACAGCTCTACCCAAACGTATCTTCATACCCCTGTTTAGGTGCAAAGGAAGGACTGTGGGTTTGGGGATCATTAAAACTAAAGTCCAAGTTTTTACAGAAGGAAAATGGAATTGGTTTGGCTGTGATTTTCTTGAAGTATTTTTAAAGATGCAGCATGATCTGATGGTTGAAGAACAGATTCACCCCTTCTAGAACCCCACAGCCCTTCCCCAGCCTGTCCTGCCCCTTGTTTCAGGCAGGAGAAGCAGGGGGGGCAAAACACAAGGGTTCTCAGCCCTGCAACCAGGGTTCAAGGGCAGCTTTTGGGCTGAGCACAGCCTGTAAACAAATAAAATGGAAAATCCTTTCCTAGAAAAATGGATCTTCTCCCTACTTCTTGAATAAATCAGCACGACCTGCAAACGCATCCTCGGCCTTAGCAGAGAGCTGGGAGCCAGAGCTGCCCTTTACCCTCCCTTACAGGACTTACTGTTCCCTATTGGCACTGAGGACATTTACTTTGCCTTTATGCCAAATTTCAGCAGCACAAGAAAACCACTCTCCCCTGTCAAATTGCCCAGGACAGCTCAGTCAGGGTTTTGGGGATGGAAAACCGCATCATTCTTTTCACATCCCTAACGTGCCAACAGCCTCCCTCCCCCTGGAGCCCTCCAGTACATTAAATTAACTCCTGGAAAATACACCCCTTTCCTTTGAGGAGAGCCTAG